ATATTTGAAAACTGCACACTCTGGTCACTGATACTGGTACATTTAGTAGCAGAACAAAAATGGCATGCCCACTGGTATGGTACCATCTACCTGCCTGCCGCTTAAACTTTGTGTTTTTTTGGTTATTGATGAGTGGAGGTTGGGGTTTGCCCGGAAATTGAAGCTGCTTACAAGTTATCACCATAAGATTGACTTCTCTAAGACTATATTTGAGTTGATGATTCTGTCAAAGATTGAATGTTTTGGAATGTCTTAAGTTTGTTTGAAGAGACTCACAAGATTGTAAATGCTGTCGGAAAATCTGTATTGAATGTTCTGATTGTTTAAATTGGTGGCCACATGCTAAATGTTGTAGAATACTTTTACTGTTAGCTTAACCTCAGAAATAATTGTGCAGTTCTTGAGTCTCTTTGGAGATGCACAGTCTATTAAAAAGGCAGAAGATCGACATGCTAAGCTCTTTCTACCTAATAGACCAATGACAAATTTAAGGAAGCGTCATGCCGAAGATTTATGTGTTCAGATAAGACAAAGCTGGCAAAGTCTTACTCTAATGACCCCTCACCTGGCCAGTCCTTGATGAGTGCTTATCCAAATGCACAAAACCAGTGGCCAGCTGGTTATGGTGCACAACCTCAGAATTGGCCTCCCACTACACAGGCACAAACATGGACTCATGGCTACGGCCAACAGGTATATGCAGTTTTTTTATGTATCTTTGAATTGTATTTCAGGACATGCTTTTCATATTTTCTTTACTTATTCTAGCCTGTCTTTATGGTTCCCCCCCCCCCCTTAAATGTTAGCATTGTTATTTTATGTAGTTGCATGTTTGGATTATACTGCAAAAACCAGCTGAAATGTTGGCATGCAATTTATTTCCCTGTCAATTATCGATGGTTTGATATGGCTTCATATTATGCTCTACTTTGATCGACAGTTCTATGAATTCTCATCTGTAGGCTGCATATGGTGCGTATAGTAGTTATGGTAGCAATTATGCTACGCCACAAATGCCCATGTCAGCTCCCCAGAGTGCCACATATGCTTATCCGACTTCATATCCCGCGCAGGTGTACAACTTTCTATCTACAATCACTTCCTATTTGTTTTATAGCTATTTGGAAAACTACAATTTTAAAAGACTAGTAATACCCCCCCTAATGGGCCAAGCCCATGCCACTCACTTTTGAAACCCGGACCTCACATTTGAAAGATTCATGTGCGTTGCAACATGTTGAAGAAATATTTTGGAATGATGTTGATATAGATTTTCATCTTCCTTCTCATTCAGCATTCAAGTTTGAAATCTCTTTTTTTCCTAGTTTGGAGCCTAATAGTTTGCTGTAATTTTTGCAGGCCTTTCCTCAACAAAGTTACGCTCAACCAATTGCTGCCACGATGTTACCTCCAGCCCAGCAACCTGCTGCAGCAGTTCCTCAAACAGCCTATTATGGGACTTACAACTGAGAATGCAGTAAATATGATGATTATCTGATTTCGTTGCAGTCTCTACCTCTACCTCTACCTCGAGGCGGCTTAGTAGTTGTCAAGGTGGACATTTGAGGTTGAAGAAGGGGCGTGGTAGATGTTTATGAAGATGTCTGTTCTAGTCTACAGTGGTAAATGTGTTTAGGTATTGTAGTGTCTTTTTTAAAAAGAAGAATTACGAAACAGACCAACCGAAAAAGAAAAGGAAATGAAATTTGATACAATTCGGTTCATTAGTATAATGTTGATGTATTTTTTAATAGTATATTAGGGAGTAACGTTATCACATCACTAGTTTTAAGATCATTTTACTTAAATTACATGAAATAAACAGATGGTTTGAAATATTTGATCAGGAGTAGCCGGATTCGTTCCCTGAAGAATTACCTGGGATATCTTTGTTCGAGAGGAAGAATTTGGGATTGAATTATTATTTGGGACTACTCTACTTTTAATTGTTCCATATGTTAAAGACAGTTGTAAGAATTGTTAGCTTGGGCTGTGTTTGTATGATCTCAATTGACTAGTTTCTCGTGTTATTAAAAAAAGTTCATAGTTGATAAATTATTTATTTGACCAATTCAATTGTCTCAATAGTTTCAAAGATCGATCTATATCTTAATTACTGTCGTATAAAAGTGAAGAATCAAATATCTCGATAAATTATATTACGAATTTCTATTTATATTATTTGGATTCGCAAATGCTTGCTTTAACTGAATTTATGAATTAATGAATCAAGTGTTTAAAACTTAATTAGTTGTTTATTATTTACATCAATGACATCATGGTGTACTCTAAAACAGAGGATGATCACGACAAACTTTTTGGGATTGTTCTTCAAACTCTTTGTGAAAAAGCAACCATTCACGAAGCTTAGTAAATGTAAATTATATTCATTTGAAGTTTTTTTATATTGTGCCCGCAACTAGGATTCAAGTTGATCTTAGAACAGGTGTTCACTTCGTTAGATGCTGCGAATATTCTCACTTGAATGTTTTCTGGAGCCATGAGCAGAACTGAGATTAGAAAACGAGAGGTAAATGACAAGAAAAAAAAATCAGGAATCCAAGTCTCGTATGAGAGTATAAAGAGAAGATTGAGTTTTGAATATTTTCAGTGATACATTTCCATTGATTTACCTGGGTTTATGTACAAAAACTCATGCTAAGAATTCTCCTAGAAAAGCTGATATGATACAATTAAAAGATAAATTTGAACCTATTCTAAAGAAAAACAGATTACAACAAATTAGGAATTTTAAACAATAGAATCCTAGAAAAACAGAAACACTGGAGTTATGATTTCTTATCACTTATATGGATCGGTCACTCGACTGGTAATTACTCTGTCTGTTCCGGTTATTTTTGGCTTCAACAGCGCCAACGATTTGAGATGCTGATATCTCGACTTTGATTATACTTGTTAAGACTCCCCACCTTACCGAAGGTTCGATGTTTGGGTGGTGTGCTGCTCATGAAGCTCTTCCCGTGGGTTATCGGTTTCTCCGTGCGGGTGTCTCTGATGGTACTTATGGGTTTTGTGGCATGGCTGAAGAAACTGTCTTCTATGCTCTTCGGGACTGTCCAGATGTGCAGTGTATTTTTGCTTTGGCCGGTTTTCCATTGTCTGTTTTTTCAGCATCTCAACCTTCTTTTGGCTCATGGCTAGTACTGCCCATGGATGATGTGGATGCTACATGTTTTATTGATGTTCTTATGTTGTATCAACTTTGGCACCATCGAAAAATTTGATTCCACGAGGGTCGGTTACTCCTCGACTGGCAACTTTTACTCTCCGGCCGTGGCCCTCAAACTGTTTACCTGGCTGCTTCTTTTCCCGCTGGTTCACTTCAGTTGCCTACTCCCTCCTGGACGTCCGCTGGTCGAAGCCCGCTCCGGAGTGTATCACCATCAATGTTGACGGTTCCCGTCCAATGGGTTCAGGACTTCCAATGATAGGTGTTATCGCCAGAGATGAGCATGGGATGGTGTTGGCTGGTCGTGGACAGATTCTCCAGGTCCCTTACGATGTTGGGATGACATAAAAGATTTGTTAAGAAGTTTTCAATGATAGATGTTTCGTTAACTTAATTGCTAAAAAAGTTTTGTATAAAAAATTGAACTTTTTTAAATTTTAGTGACAAAATCGATATATTCTTAAAACTTGATGCATAAAATAATGCAGTTTTGTGATTAATAAAGACGTCAAAATAAGATTGTTTTATTCATGTCATTACATTGACATAAAGATTCGTCAATATTATTGTACCGTTAAAATTTAACCGTCTAATAACAGAAGTAAAATCTAAAATTTAATGTTATAATTTAAGAAATTAAAATTTAAATGGTATAAAAATACACCACCTATTTAATGGTATATGATGTGGTTTACCCTAACTAAAATAAACATAAAACCCCCTCTAATTTGTTTTACTCTCTCCACTGCAAAGCTCGCTTACTCCTGGTATGGTTTTGACTTTTGATTCCACTCTTTCTTCCTTGTTTCAAAATCACTGGACTTTCACTGCCCTTTTTATTTTCTTCTGCCATATATATATAATATTAAAGAAATTGACCTTTCGTATTTTTATGTGAACCGTCTCTACATTGAATCCCAAACGCTTTGTCTGTTTGGCTTACTGCATGCTTTTTTATCTCGTCATTGTCCTTAGTTTTGAGGATTTCTCTACTTAAGTTCTGTTTGTCTGTTGAGGAACTCTGGCTTAAGTTTTTTTTCCCCTGAGAAAAATGTTGAACTTTACGAAATTTGGTAATGCAGTGGCAGTATGCATGCATGGTGAAAATGGGTTTCTTTGGTCTTTAGAAAAACACTATAAAAATAAGAATAATTGATCTTCAAGGGTGTGGTTTGGTAAGGTAAAAATATGAACTGGCTTCTTTTTGCATGCAATCATGGAGGTTTTGGCTTTTAGTTTCTTACTGAATTATCTCAATGTATAGAAGTGTATTAATTAAAGGATGCATGTGGATCTTCGTCTTTGGATCTCATTTATTCTTCTTCATTTAGTTATGTATTCCCTATTATTTGTGGATTGTTTTGCTCTCTCGCTGCTACTTATCTACTTTTATTCCTGGGCTGCTACTGATGTTCTGGGGTCGAGCGTTCGATCGAGTCAAGTCAAATTTCATGTTATTCGAGCTGACTAGTTGCATTTTAATTTAAATTTTTGAAATTTTCGAGTCAGTTTATTTGAGTTTAGTAATTTTAATATTATGATGTTTTTGATTTCTATATGAACCATAAATGTTGTTCATATTTTTTCGTATGTGATATAAATATATGATACAAAGTAGAGGGACTCGACTCAAAATTAATAATCCACTAATTATTAAAATTTTGGAGTTATTTGAGTTCTACTATAGAACTCGACCCAAAAATTTTCGAATTGAGTTGAGTTTATAAAATTATGAGTCGAGGTTTTTCGAGTCGAGTAGAAAAAATTGATTTTTTGAGTCAAGTCGAGTTTTGTTTACCCCTAGTGATGTTATCTACTCTCTCTTCTCACAAATGGAAAATGTAGGTAATATTGTCTTACAGGCTGAGAAAGCATCATGGCACCAAACCCCCGAGTTGTGCAGGCCTTCCGTGCAATGGGAAATAGGAATTGTGAGCAAAAAGTGAAACCGGTGTGAAGAGACTTCTAAATATATATGATAAAATTGGGAGCTAATTGAATCTGAAAATTATAGAGTTCTTGCTGTGCTATCTTTGATGAGGAGGATAGTAAGGTACACTTTCCTCTATAATCTGTTTCAGTTCAGTTTTAAGTCATAACTTGTTGTGTTTTTTGATACGGTCTTGCTTTTCAGGTTCCAGAACCTGAAAAAGACGAGAAATGCATCGTATGTGACTCATCTCTAACTTTGCTACTACAGAAAATTTCTTTTTTCCTGTTATCATCATCCATCCGTATGACCTGCTATGGTTGATTGTGTTACCTAGCAGGATGGAGATATTGGAGATGAAGGTTCAGTACTTGATGAGCCTGTAGGCCATTAAAAAGATTGAGAAAACTAGGTGAGGCTTCTTCTTCAAAGGAAGGCAACCCAAATATGACTGGAACGTTTTTAGAAAGGTCTAGACTTGAGGAGGATGCACTACCTCCTACTTTTCAACAGCAGTCACTTCAGTGCAATGTTGGAAAAAGGACAGAATTCTTGCCTGTTTCACCTCGGCCTGCCTCAGCTGTTCCTGTTTCACCCCATCATGGTGGTAGGATGCTTCATCTGGTCCTGTTCATCTCAGCTTGCCTCCCCTGCTCCTGTTTCACCCATCATGTAGTCAGAATAAAGGGAACCAACTATAGAACCTAGGCCTTTGGCATGGTAGGAAGATATGAACAAAATTCACATTCGTCTCAAAATGCAGTTTAGTATTAAAGGAAAAGAACCAATGTTACCTTACGATGCTTCGAAAGGGAAAGGTCTCAAAGAGTCTCTCTTTCCTTGTGCATTAAAGATCCGGAACCTGAACTTGTATTTCCTAAGAAAAGGGTGCTGATACTCTTGCTCTGATTATGCCCAAGGAAGAGCCATTTACCGATGAGATGCCACAGGATGCGGTTCCTATTGCAGTTATTCATCCAGGTAAATATTTCCCATATGTACATATTGTTTGTTTTCCTCCCCCTCCTTGATTCACTTTTCGTTGCAAACCAATGTTCGATTACTGATTAGCTGATGCAGTTCTCAAGCATCTAAATTAATTATTATGTACATGTTATGAATTTATATATATCGGTGCTGTGAAATGTATAGGCTTGTAGTGAATTGTTTAAATGTTTCTTGATTTAATTCATAATGCAGTAGGGAACCGGTGTTTTGAGAACGCTGTAAAAGTTCCTTTTGATGGTAATTTTGCAATCCCTTGTATGTTCACTTTCAGTGTGCATGGTTTGTCCATTGTGCTTTTCCAATTTACTCAAAAATTGCAGGGAAATGAAGAACAATGATGATGAATGTGCCATGTTTGACATTGTATTAGATATATACTTCAAACCTGCTAACTTTGCTGAGCATAATCTCTGCAATTGATCCTAATCTGCTGTACGTAATTCCATATCTGAGATAGACAATATGCTAATTAGCATCTATAACTGTAACTTGTTGGATATTAAAATTGTTATCAATCTTTTTCTTAATTTTTTTGTTATTTCCAAATAGTTTTAATCCTTTAATTAATTAGTTACTATAATGCTTTTTTTAATAGATTCCTTAGTGGAAGAGATTTGGCAATTAGGGAATTTTCAACGGGAAAATCAAATTGGCAGGAACCTCCCGAATCCTTGCATACAGATGAAACGTAGGTGCTGGTGCTTCAGCTTCAATGAGTGAGAGGCATACCAACTGTGAGCTTGCCACTGTTCCTGTTGAAACCGCTTCTAGAGTAGAAATAGCACTTCGCCGTTAGGTGAGGTAAAGATTTCTGTAAGCTACAACAATCTGCTCTTGGAAGACAGAGTTTCCAATGCCTACCATAGATGAACTAAGAGAACTGATGGAACAGAGATGTCTCGATCATACAAAATAAATCATTGGCCCAAATTTTGATCTCATCAAAATTCTGAACGACATGTGAGTGCATCTCCGAATTGGCGACTAATTCCTCTAACCAATCACAGGAAGGTGATGTGATGCCGGCTCTTGATGTGTTGAGGGGATCTCCTGCAAGGAATACTTCTGATTCTGAGAGCAAAATGGAAAATGTTTACATGCTAGCTAGATTGTCAAATGGATCTTTCAATGTTCAGCATTCTTCAAATGGATGTGCAGACGATGTAGGAGGGAAGGAATTGCTGGTTCTTCCACGGCAGGAACTTACTCTTAATGAATTAAGGTGGCTTCATGATGCAAGTGACATAACCAAGGGAGGAGAAAAAGTTAAAATTTCATGGGTAAATGAAATAAATAAGATTTTCCACCATTTCATATATATCAGAGAATCTGGTATTTCAAAATGCCCATGTTAGTTTTTCTCTTTACGGAATTGGAGATGAAAGTTGTTGTCCGACATGTTTCGGGGATTGTCTCTTGTCTGAGCTGCCTTGTGGATGTGCTTGTCAAGCTGACAGAAAATTTGCATACTCTTCAGCAGGTGTTCTTGAGGAGGACTTCTTAGAAGAGTGCATTTCTATGACTCGTGATCCTCAACATCAATCTCTCCTTTATTGTACAGAATGCCCGGTTGAGAGATCAAAAAAGGGGGACTTTCCCAAACCTTAAGGGGCACTTGAAGAGAAAAGTTGTCAAAGAATGTTGGAGCAAATGTGGCTGCAATAAGCGTGTGGCAACAGGGTGGTTCAGAGAGGTCTAAATTACAAATTGCAGGTTTGGTTTATCCTAGTCTTGTACAAATTCTGGTCCGTGTGATCATTACGTTGCTTTTCAACTTAAGGCACTCCCTTGAATTTTTCTTCAATGACTGTTAGGTTTTCTTAACGCCTGGTGGAAAAGATTGGGGCCTCAGAACCCTTGAGAAACTTCCCAAAGGAGCTTTTGTTTGCGAGTTTGTCGGAGAAATACTCACCATCTCCGAGTTTTATGCTAGGGACACAGAGAAACATACTTTTCCTATCCTGTTGGATGCTTATTGGGGGTTGAAGGGAGTTTCCAAGGATGAAGAAGCCCTCTGTTTGGATGCCACATGTTACGGAAATGTTGCTAGGTTCATCAATCATAGGTAGACTTTCTTTGGCCTTTAACTTTTGCCTACTATGGTCTTCAAAAGATGTCAATTGCTTTAGCCTTTCTCTTTGTTGTGTGTTTCTGTAAGGTTAGTAATTGGTTTTGATGACATCAATGAAGATTACCTGCAAGATTGTCTCATTTTCCTTTATATATATATTGTTTTAATAACTGTTATAGGTCCGGTATAGGACGGAAAACTCATCAGAAGAAATATCTGACACCTTCAATTAATTGACATTTAAAAATATCCAATTCTTTTTGTTTCTTATTTTGCTAGGTGCTTAGATGCAAACTTGATTGAAATTCCGGTTGAAGTGGAGACTCCAGATCTTCATTACTATCATGTATGAAATACTGGTTTAGTCCACCTTCCTAGTTCTATTTGTTTTACTTCAAATCATTGCAATGGCAAATCTAATTGAGCATTTACTGTGTACAGCTAGCCTTTCACAACAAGAGAAGTTCATGCGCTTGAAGAGCTAACATGGGTGAGTATTCTCATACATCGAATGATGATTATTCGTATGCGGTATTGGAAGCAAACAGAATCAGCTCATGCTTTTTTTCCTCTGTCCCTATTAAGAGGCTATACATTCTGCAGCAGGATTATGATATTGCCTTTGATGATCTTGATCATCCTGTCAAGGCTTTCCAGTGCAGAGTGGCAGTAAGTTTTGCAGGAATATGAAACGCTGGGCTAGTAAGTAATCGTCATGTATAATCTGTAGAAAAATGTTTCGTTTTCTCGTGTTGAAATAAATTTTGGCACATTAAATGCTCTAACCCTTTGAAAGTGCAACCATAATATCCAACTCAATTTGTAATTCTTTTCATGTTCCAAACCCTACCCTTGTAACTTGATTCCATGAGAACATTGATGCTAAAAATCATATATTATTTCTGTAATTACTACGACAATACAAACGATCTTCTTTCTATGGTGCAGGGTCTAAATCTGCAACAATCACCAGATGAACTGGTTCTATGTCATGAAAAATTTTCGCCATTTTTTGGAAGAAATATGTTTCAAGTGGGAAGCTCAAGGCACTTATTTTGTGGTAGCTTTTTCATGGTTTAAATATTGACAAAGTGGAAGCTGGTAGCCTTGATTAAACGGTTTTTTTCTTGGTTAACCCCTCGCCATGGTTTCTAACAAGCTCATAGACATACCATGGTTTTGATGTGAATACCGAACAATATAGGTTCTTCTTTTTGTGTTAGCAACTGCAGGAGTTGAACTGGAATCAAAACTCAATGAACATGAATTCTAGTAAATATATATACTTGCTTTTATGTTTGGATAAACGCATCTGTGGTCATTACCACTAATGTTTGAGCAAGTTTATTTTTTCACAGTAAGGTTTGAAAATTTACTTTGGGGTCACTAATGTTATAGTTTGTCTTTAAAATGATCATCAACGTTATCGTTTATTACAAAATGGTCACTCCGTCACTAACTCTCCCTAACCTGATGACAAGGACAGAGCTAGAAAATTTGTTTTGAATGTCATATTTAAAAATTATATGAAGAATTCTTTTATGTGGGTAAAAAGTTTGAGGGTCTCACCTACCATTAAGCATGTTTTTTAATTTACCAACATCCACTCTATCTCACTCTTGTTATCCTTAAAAGATAAAAATACACCTCCCAATCATAAATAATAAAAATACAAAAACTCTCAAAATTCAAGATTTTTTATTTTTAAATTAAGTAAAATTATTTTTAAGAAAATATGACTTCATATAACATTTGTTTATGTTCGTTTGTTAAACTAAATAAACGAGTATGAACAAATTTTTTTATGTTAATTAATAAATAAACGAACACACATATAGTTGTGTTCAATTCGTTTATGTTCACAAACAAGCCCGTTTATCAACTCGTTCATTTATGTTCATGAACAAACTTGTTTACCAGTTCTCTTTTTCCTTTAATTTTTTTTTACATTTGAAATATTGGTGAAAGCAGGGACTAAATTGAACATAGGTCAAAGTTAAAATCTAAATTGCAAATTTTAAGGAATTTATGCTACTAAAACTAAAAATTGAACATACAAGTGAACGATAAACGAACAGTAAATGAACAAAAAATGAACACGTTCACAAACATTAAACGAACATGTTCGTGAACAATAAGTAAATGAAAACGAACAACTTGAAGGATAAATAAACAAACACAATATTAAAATTTTAGACGAACACGAATCAAACATGAACACCTTCAAAAATAAACAAACGAACACGAACATAATCTTATTCGTTCAAGCTCGGTTCATTTACACCCCTACTTTTTAGTATTTTATGAGTAATGAGTACTTTATATATAATGTGCTTGAGGGTCATATTAAGTTCTTTTTCTTAGTTTGAAAATCACATTAAATATAAAAAATAGTTTGAAACTTGGAAGTCATATTGATTATTTTAGAAAAGTTTAAGAGTCTCAGTTATCATTAAGCCTTAAAATAATAATAATACATGGACAAATTAAAGAGAAAAAATTAGTACAAGTGCGAAAATGAATTAGGCTAAAAGAGGAGAAAAGAATTATTATACCATTCTCGGACAAAACCCTGGGACAGATTTTATTTAAGATTCAGAAGTAAGCCTCGCTGAAGAAAAGAGGCAAACGGAAGAGTAGAGAAGGGCCGATCCAAAATGTCGAAGCGAGGTAAAACTTTCCCTCACTTTTCATCTCACCTAACAAACCCACGACCGATATCAACAATTCGTTTTCTTTTAATTTGCAATAGGAAGGGGAGGTAGCGCGGGGAACAAGTTCAGAATGTCGCTGGGTTTACCGGTGGCGGCTACGGTGAACTGCGCCGACAATACGGGAGCCAAGAACCTTTACATCATTTCAGTCAAAGGAATCAAAGGGCGTCTCAACAGGCTCCCATCGGCTTGCGTCGGGGACATGGTCATGGCCACCGTCAAAAAGGGGAAGCCCGATTTGAGGAAGAAGGTTTTGCCGGCCGTCATCGTCCGACAACGCAAACCTTGGCGTAGAAAGGACGGCGTCTACATGTACTTCGAAGGTCCAAAATCCAAACAATTCCTTTGTTTACCCATTTTTTTTCTTTATATTTTTCTTTGTTGCTTCTTTAATAATGGGATAGCTGATTTTGATTTTTTGGTTGCTCTTAATGGGAAGCATAGATGTGTTTTAAACAGCATGATGCTGTTGTTTATCTATTGCATCGTGTTACCTGTCTGCTTGTACAATTGGTTAAGTTATTACTATGTAGAAGTAATATTTATGTGTTTTAAGTTGGACTTAGCTTGGGTTTATCTATCTGTTTGCAGATAATGCTGGTGTCATTGTCAACCCCAAGGGGGAAATGAAAGGTAATTCAACCCATTTTCATTCTATTTTGATGTTTCAGTTAGACTACTATTGCTTATTGAATATTGGGGGTTTCAAATGAAGTGTTTTTATTTTTGGCTAAATTCTGGGAAATATGAATATGCGGATGTGTCTAAAATACAACTGGTTAATATAAGGTTAAAAAAACGGCTGAAATCGGTTGGAACTAAAAACTTACCAAGAGTGTAACATTTTAGAGTAATCTTGGTAACACTTTAGGTTGAAACTGAAAATATTACGTTATCCATAAATGTATAACTATTCTGGTTGCAATTTAAAAAGTTACCATCAAGACATTCTCCCTTGCAACTGAAATTATTACCAATTGTCTAACTTTTTTAGAGTAGATAAGTAACATTTTAGGTTAAAACTTGCATCAATGTAACATTTTCATTTGTAAACCAAAATTATTACCGATTGTATAATTTTTAACATTTTAGTTGAAACCCGCCTCAAATTAACGTTAGGTTAGGCCACCTTTCATATGCTCGTGACCACAGTTTAACAGTATATCACTGATGTAGTAAAGAATATAATCTTTATGCTTCCAAGTTGACATAGAACCTCCGAACATAGTTTATCTTTTCAATATGCATGTTGCAGAAAGTGATATACTGTTGTCTTGTTGAATTTGATATTTGAAACTCTTTTGGTTTAATTGATTTGGTGTTTTCAGGATCTGCTATCACCGGTCCCATCGGAAAGGAGTGTGCTGACCTGTGGCCTAGAATTGCAAGTGCTGCCAATGCTATCGTGTGAAAGATTTTCATGGTTTTGTTTGCTACTATTCTTAGAACATGTTTTGAGAGGTTTTGATTAGACAATGGTATATCTAGTTGTCTAAAACTTGTTTCTTAGTTTCATTTTATGGATATGGTATTACAACAGTTTTAGTATGCTTCCATTGCTCTTTTCAGCTCAAGTAAAACTAAACAAACATCAATCAATATGATGACGCTTTTGAACATCACAAAATCCACCTTTCAAGTTTTCTGATATACCAATTTTCATGGTTAGGATAGTTTTCCTCAGAACTTGGGAACCCTAGTTCAATTTTGCTGGAATCTGCCATTGGCTTCCACAATCAGCATTTTTGCATGATAATCGTAATCAAATCGGAATTTATAAAATACTTGTGATATATGTCGGTTTGAGCATAAAAATGATATATATACTGGTTAAATCTCTGAGTAAGTTGAAACAATTCCGTTTACTAGTCAAAATATAGAATTGTTGTATAAATTTTAGAGAAAATAACCTCAGTGACCAAAAATCTCAGATAATATACGATTTTGACTAATTTTTTTTGGATTTTCGAAAATGACAAACAAAATCGCAATGCGATCTCTAATTCGCATTGCGATCTCCACTATCGCAAATTTGCGTTGCATTTTGCGTTGCGATTTTTCATTTCGCGTTACGATTTTTCAGTTCGTGTTGCGATAGTTTAAAATCGCATCGCGTTGCGATTTTCCAAATTCGTTGCGATAGTCTACAGTTGTCAAAATTCTTGTGATAGTTAAAAAAAAATTTTGTTTCTCTAAAAAGATAGTATCCGCGCGGACGTGTTGATGACACGTACGACCACGACCCGACCCGCCCGAGACGGACGACGGCGGCGGCGGCTCGCGAGAGTCCCCCTTGTTCTCTATCACTCAACAAGGAAGTGAGAAAGCCAAGCCTTAAATACTATTCCCAATAGTGTTTCCAATACTATGTGGGATTTGAGCATTACCAACACTTGTTCCCAATACTATGTGGGATTGAGCCTTAAATAGTGATATTATTTTTGAATGTTTTGCTTAAAATTGCAATAATCGCGATTGATTGTAGATTGACTTTTAATTATGACATATTTAATCGTATAATACTAATGCAATTGGTTGCTAATTCAGTTGTTTTAAGGTGCATGATTGTTAATTGTTTCCTGAATAATCACATTGTATTGGAAACAAGTGTTGGTAATACTCAATCCCACATAGTATTGGAAACACTATTGGGAATGGTATTTAAGACTTGGCTTTCCCACTTTCTTGTTGAGTGATAGAGAACAAGGGGGACTCTCGCGCGCCGCCGCCGTCCGTCTCAGGTCGTGGTCGTGGTCGTGGTCGTGGTAGTATGTGTCTTCGACACGTCCGCGCGGATACTATCTTTTTAGAGAAAATTCTTAAGAAACAAAATCTTTTTTTTTTAACTATCACAACGAATTTTCGCAACGAATTTGGAAAATCGCAACGACAACTGTAGACTATCGCAACGCGAAATGGAAAATCACGGTGCGATTTTTAACTATCGCAACGCGAAATGGAAAATCGCGTTGCGATTTTCAACTATCGCAACGTGAATTTGCGATAGTGGAGATCGCATTGCGATTTTGTTGGTTATTTTCGCAAATCTAATAAAAGTTGGTCAAAATCGTTTATTATCTAGAATGTTTGGTCACTGAGGTTATTTTCTCTAAATTCTAATACCTATTACATTACTGTTTCAACTTTGATATCAAAATTCATACATTCGATCTTTCTTTCCTTTGTTTCAATTTCTTCATGCGTTTTGGTAATGGTGAATTAGGTTAGTACATAATCACTAATGAACATGATTCAAATCTCTTTCCGCAACTAAAAGATAATTGAAATCCAAAGCACTTGACTGGATTAAAATTAAGAAGAAAAATTCCCGTATCAGCTATAAAGGGTGGCTGCAAAACCCTATCACCAATAATCTCTACAAGAACATTTTCCATTTTGGAAATGATGAAAATCTACTAGTATCTCGAACAATAATCTCTCTATTTTTGATCTCTGATATGATCTTAATAGCGACATGGCAGTCACTGCAGATCCTCAAATTCTTCATCACCCTTATAGGAGTACCAGCAGGTGTATTCATTAAAGCAAATGCAATGGCCATTTTTTCGCTATGGTGACTCAAGCTGCATTCTTTCTCCTCATTATCCATATCATGTAGAACTAAACTTGTGTCGGGCACGTATCCGTGTAACTTCATCTCCGCAGTCAGTTCCTTCAAATACGAATCAATCTCTTCCGATTGTGGGTGTGCTTTATCACTCATGCAAAACTGATGAACTTGATTCTTGATTTCCAACCAACTTACACCAGGCTCTTTCTTCACTCTTCTATCTCTCATGATTTTTCTTACCTCGGAAACACTGTGCCAACTTTTCTCAGATGCATGGATGTTTGCAAGGAGAACATAGGAAGCTGAATCCTGAGGATCAAACTTAAGCACTTCTTCAGCTACTCGTCTTGCCATGTCGGCGTTCTTGTGGATCTTACATGCTGATAACAAAGTTTTCCATATGATAGCATCTCCTTTCACCGGCATCGATCTTATCATAGCTTCTGATTCATTCAAACAGCCAGCCCGACCGAGCAAATCAACTATGCAAGTATAGTGTTGTACCCCAGGCTTTATTCCATACTTCTTTGTCATCAATTTAAAGAACTCAAGTCCTTTATCTTTAAGCCCAAAGTGGCTGCAAGCATAAAGCAAGCTCAAGAAAGTAACATCATTTGGCTCCAATCCTTCTTTCTCCATCTTCTCAAACAACTCAACAGCTTCCACTCCTCGTCCATGAAACCCATATGCAGCAATCATCGAGCTCCATGACACATGATCTGCTACTTCACATTTCAAGAAAACCTTAATAGAATCTTCCAAGCAACCACACCTTGAATACATACTAATTAAAGTACTTATCACGCCGGCATCCGAACTTGCACCAGTTTTAATCACATCAACATGAATCTGCTGACCTTGTCCTAACGTTGCCAACTCCGAACATGAACTGAGCACGCTAACAAATGTAATTTTATCAGGTCTGAAACCAGCCATTTTCATCATACAATAAAGGGCCAGCACACTCTCAGAATACCCATTTTGAGCGTTCCCTGCAATGAGAGTATTCCAAGCAACCACATTCCGAATCGGCATTGATTTAATTACCCTTTCCCCTTCTTCTAAACTTCCACACTTCATATACATATGAGCCAAAGAACTCCCAACAACTAAATGAAACCCAAATCCGCATTTCACCACGCAACAATGAACTTGTCTCCCAACTAACAAAGCCTTCAAACCAGCACACCCTCTGAGAACACTAGAAAGAGTGAAGTCATCAGGGCTGAACCCCGAAACATGCATTTCTCTAAACAAACATAGTCCCTCCTCGTTATACTCGAACTGGATAAAACCCGCAACAACCGCATTCCAAGTGGCGACATTTCTTTCAGGCATTTCATCGAACAACTTTCTGGCACCATCCAAGTCCCCAACAAGCAGATACCCATTAATCAAAATGTTACGAGACATGACATTCTTTACAACCATAACATTATATAAGGAAACGGCAGCTTGTAAGTTGCCGAATTTGCAGTACATGTTCAGCAAGTGGTTTGATATAAACCTGTCTTTTGAAGACCCAGATGTGACTACTAGGGAATGAAGCTGTTTCCCGAGAAATGGCGAGTTTTGGGATATGCAAGATTGAATGAGGTGAGAAAACAGAGGTGGATCCGCCCATATCTGACGATGGTACCTATCAAAGGCCTGCTTTGTGAGTCCTTTGGAGCAGAGATTGGTGAATTCAAAGGTGAAACTAGGGGCAGCATCAGAGGCGGCGTTCGTAGAAAAAAAACGAAAGGAAGAAGAGAAACGTAAGTAACTGCTGGGACAATACGTACCCCGACCCATGGGATCGAGACCCTACCGATTATGTCATGTTCCTATATAGCAAACTTGGTTCTAAAATTTTAATTTATTTTACAAAATTCTTAATTAAAAGATATATAAATAATTATAAAACTTAAAAATATTTTAGCAGGCCAATGAATAGTGATATAAATAAATAAAGTGTTTGATGAATTATTCGTGAACCGTTCATATAATATTTATATGTGTTTATTTATTAAGTTAAATAAATAAGTGTAAATAAATATTTTATACCAGTTTAATATACGAAAAAATATAAATAAATATATATATATCAATTTGTTTACGTTTACAGAGAAAATCAAATTGTTTATAAGCTTGTTTACCTCTCATGCGAATTAAACATGTATATGCGCACTTTAAATATGAAAACCTAATATTATTATTCTATTTTCTATTTGGAAAATTAGTGTATGAGATTAGATTTTTACCCTCCACGTGTTTCATAGAATAATCAATAGCTGGTTATGAAGTAGGCTGCGTCGACAAGGAGAGCGACAATTCTCCAGCCAATAGCGGATGTAAGCTTATGTCAGTAAGATACGAGTATATGTTATCTTAAAATCTGAATTATTATAATAATTATTTATTTTATTAATAATTTTCATCCAAAAATTTATTTATACTTATTTTATAATTTTTTTTATTAAATCAGTTAAATGATTTTTAAATCTCTCTTGGATTATTATAAGATATTTCATCGATATCTTATTTTCAACAATATCATCCTTAATTATTTCAAATCATCATACATTTTAGATTTTTTTATATTTTCTATTAATAATAATCTTAAAATTTTATAAGTTTTTCGCATCTTAAAATTTTAGAAGTTCCACCCTTGCATCTATTTATGTATTGAAAGATTGTATGGCGGATTATATGGATTGCACAGGAGTGGGAGCTAGGGCAAACTGTTTTAAGAATGGTGATCGTAATATTGCTTTGATGTCTGGTCTAAAATATTTCCAGGATCTTTGTGAGGGCGTTCACCAGATAAAGTGATACCCAAGCTTTTGATAATGAAGGCACTCCTTTTTCCTTCTGTAGACACTCAAGTCACATGTGGCCCATCAGAATACCTCAAGTCCAACACGTGTACCCTAACACTGGACCCAAATCGATCCAATAGAGCATCAAAGTTGGTTAGGGTTTGAAACCCTAACCCCATCCTATCCAACCGCGCGCCGCAAGCCCTCTCGCCCGAAGTCCCCGTGCATCACGCTCCTCGTCCATGCCACACAGCCGTATTTGATGCCGGTTATCTCGGCACCAACGGCACTCCAAGCAACAAACCGAGAAACCAACAAACATTAAAATCTTAGTTCGAATAGGACTCTAAAAATAGTTTTTTTTTGTGCTATAAATAACATGTAAACTAGAACGCCAGGGAGGGCAAAAATTTGGCAAGAAAGACACATACAATATTGAGAGAAATATCAAGTAATTTCGAAGCCTTTTGTAACAATTTCGAAAGGGAAATAAGAAGAAGGTAGCATCTTTTACCTCTGTTCGCTCGTCTCACTATTGCATGTTGAGTGTTGCTTGAGATTTGACTTCAAACAAAAAAAAAACGTTTTGGCCGATGAACGAAGTGAGGCCTTTATTTTCGAAACCTATTTCCCAGATTTGCGTTTTTTTAAAGCAAAATTCCAGAAGATCTACTGGGATTTTTGGGCTGTGGGAAGAGAATGGTTTTTAAAGAAGCGTGTTTCAGGGTCGACCATCGCCGATGAGCGGCGGCGAGGCGGTGGCCACCATTCTCAGGCGGCTCACGGCCTATGTTCTTGAAGCTCAAGAACATTGCAGAGAAAAGGAAAGGGAGATGGCTCGGGTCTTTTGAATGAATCAAATAAATTTTTTTCTTAATTTTTTCAGCATATGTATCAGACCCACGTGTTTTTAAATAAATAGGGTAAACTACCCTTTTGGTCCCTCGTATCTTTTGAAGAGTTATTTCACCCCCAAATTGAATTAACCCTAATATTGCTTTGAATTTTGACCCCTAGCTTATAGTTCTTTCAATTTAATTGTCTGGATTTTAATTTTATTTATCTATTATTTTTATATACATTATAATGTTTATATATATTATTATTAGTTTTTTTACTCGTATATATGTATTATTAGTATATTATTATTTTACTTATATGTTATATATATATATATTATATATATATATATATATATATATGTATACATTTTGTATTTTATCTTATTATTTTCTTTACTTTTTTTTCTTATTATTATCTTCATTATTTATTCTATTACTATTATATAGATTTTTTCCTCCCTCTCATATTTAGTTATTATATATATGGTATTAATATTATTATATGTTTTTATTAACTTTATTTATTTTACTTTATACGCTATTATTTATATTTTTTAATTTTTCCATTATTATTATATATTTTTTCCTCCCTCTCATATTAGCTATCATTATATGGTTTGATATTATATATGTTTTATTAATTTTATTTATTCTACTTTATACGCTATTTTACATTTTTATATATACATATGTACATTTATTTACTCTCATTATTTTACTTTGTATATATTATTTTATTTCACTTTTATTATGCTTTCCTTATTATTTATTCTTTCTTTTTTCCGTTTTATTGTGTCTTATTTTCTTATTTTTCATTCTTTCATTTTTTTTTACCTTATCATATGTTGTCATACTTGTCTTCATTTCCTTCATGTTCTATATCTCCATGTCGATTATGTTACCTTTAGTGTATCATTTATGTTATTTTGTTCCATTTCGTTTCTTTATTTTTCAATTTTTTAATTATTTATCACCTTTTCTAATACATATTTTGACTCTTAAAGAGTTCACTTTCAAATCAATCAATTGTAAGTAGTCGAGATCGCTATTTTACCTCTTAATTTAAATTTACATTTTTTCTTAACTAAAGACAACTGGAAATTACGTAGTACCGAAAGGGCAGTTCAAGGGTGCTAACCCTTCCTTGACTGTAACCGACTCCCGAATCCGACGCATCTTTGGTAAAACGCAGATCAGGTAAGAAATAGGGTATCCGATCAACCCATTTATTTTTAAATAAATGATTGGTGGCGACTCCAATCCACATTTTTCAAGTCCAAGCCCAATTCCGGGGCCCAACCCGAAAGACGGTTACGACAGCTTGGCGACTCCGCTGGGGACACAGGTAAGTGAGTCAGGCTAAGGTAATTTCCAGTTGTCTTTTTAACGAAAATGGTAAGTTTAAATTTTAAGGTAATATTTCGATCCTTTTACTTACTTTTGATTATATTTTCGAGTAAATAGTTGGACTAATCGTTTTCTCATGATTTCAGACTTCAAAGTTTTTTTCATCTAAGGCTCTATACCCGAGCTCCAATTCCTATTTTAAGTGGGGGTGAAAGCGACGCCTTCGTGTGAATTTATTCACCGTGCGGGCCTAGCAAGTAGCATTCGGGATTCATATATCTTATGTCTTCGTGTGAATTTATTCACCGTGCGGGCATAAGGGAATGTGTCCCCTCGAGTTTAACTTAGTCCACACAAGCCTGTGATGGGTTTAGGACTAAGGGTCTGGCAAGCCCAAGGGGGCACCGACAAGGAGAACTCAGGTACCGTTTTTTAAACCTAAACCGGGAGACCATAAATAATAGAGCCTACCCCGAAACCACATTCCAAAACTTATATTTTTACCCTAACCATGTTTTTTTTTGCGCTTTTTCCTTCCGTCATTTTTTTATTTTGTATTTTTATTTTACTAACGTTTTTGCCTTTGTGTTTGTTTTCTAGCATTTGCATCATTACAAGAGGCTATTGATCCCTAAAAAGCATTTGTTATACACAAAATAATTCGAATTAATGGACAAAGGTGTTGTAATACAAGAGATTGAAAACGTTGAGGCACGACTATGTCCGGAAGGCTCAGAAAGAGAAGGAGACAGTCTTCAGGGAAACTATGTGTCAGAACTGGTTAGTTATGCCGCTGTCAGCCTGAAACAGAATAATTGTCCAAGAGCTGCGAAACATTTGGGACAGTTGGAAGAATGACAGAAAGGGGAGACAGTCTTCAGGGAAACTATGTGTCAGAACTGGTTAGTTATGCCGCTGTCAGCTGAAACAGAATATGTCCAAGAGCTGCGAAACATTTGGGACAGTTGGAAGAATGACAGAAAGCAGAAGTTCAGCCAACGATATGGTGATATCGCCCTCTTGCTCCATGTCAAGACTGATGAGCCCTTACTCCGAGCATTAATTCAATTCTGGAACCCTGGATATAGTTGTTTCACCTTTAACCAGGAAGACATGGTGCCTACTATCGAAGAGTATACTACTCTATTGCACTGCGAAAGCATCAAACTAGAGAGGGCATATATTAAACATATCAAGAGTCAGCCCTTCAAGAACGGACTGGCCAAGATTGCAGGGGTTGATGAAAAGTGGGTGACTGATCGACTCCGGCACAAAGGTAGCGGGGAAGGAATCGAGTGGATCCATATAAAGCAACTAATGAAAAACCACCCTGATGAGTGGAAGACTATAGACCTTTTTGCACTGGGTCTGTACGGTTTGATCATATTTCCGAAGGCTTTGGGGTGCATTGACGCTGCTGTGGTGGAACTATTTGAGCAACTTTCTAAACGAGTTAACCCAGCACCAGCCATCTTGGCCGAGACCTTTCGATCACTCAACCATTTCCGAAGAACTGGTGGAGGAAGATTCACCGGGTGCATTCAGCTCCTTCAGGTCTGGATTCACAGCCACTTCTGGAAGACTGACGGGGTTGCCTACCGCCGTTTCAGCACCACCTATTCACCTCTAGGTGAATTTATTACCTTAAAATGGCATGAAGGCGCTTCGAAAGAAAAATGGATGAAGGTCTTTACGCATCTTCAGGACCGGGATATTGTCTGGAGAGCCCCCTGGCTATTTCTCAGTGACGTTCTTTTCCGATGTGGTGACTCTGACACTGTGACCTTACTTGGACTTTGGGGAGCAGTCG